AAAAACCCCGCAACTTCGCTGTGGATGGAAGTCTATTTTTAGAATTCCTGGTTTTCTCTTGGCGGCACCCATATATCCAGATATAAAATAAATCCGGATTTAAATTATTATGTTTTACTATAATTTTATGACAAAGTATCAATCCGGATATATATATATATATCCGGATTGAAGTATTAACACTACCCCGAAATTTAATAAATGACATTTGATCTTTATTTAGGTCGGCGTGTAGCTGCATTTGGTTATCATGCGGGATTCGCTGGTACTGCTTTAGGCTTTGATGTTTGGGCTCAACAACAAATTCACCCCGGACAAAAGTATCCATCGGTTGAGCATTTTCCTAATGAGAATGATTTGATCACTTATATAAAAGATCGATTGAATAAAGCAAGTGAGTTATTATATCCATTACTTCCGTGACCTAGGCTAAAATCTTATACATATTGCCTTAAAAAGTCAGCATTAAAGGATACACACCACGTATCATGGTCGTGGGTGCTCTTGGTAGATGTGGTAAGGGAGCAACAGAATTTGCACGCAAAGTCGATATTCCTGAGTAAGTTTCAGATGCATATTTCTTACTTTCTTAAGTAAATTCATCGCATTTATATGCCTTTTCAGAGAAAATATTATTAAATGGGATATTGAAGAAACAAAAAAAGGAGGTCCATTTCCGGAAATTCTTGAAGCAGACATTTTTGTAAATTGTATTTATCTTAGTCAAAAAATACCACCATTTCTCACTAAAGAAATGTTGGATTCGCCAAGAAGACTTTCTGTGATCGTTGATGTAAGTTGCGATAATACCAATCCTAACAATCCGATCCCAGTTTATACCGGTAATACTACTTTTGGTAATCCGACCATTGCGGTGGAAACTAAGTATGTTTGCCTTACATTGCTCAATATTATTGTAGAAAACATTCTAAATTCTTTATTGTGTTCTACAAGAAATACACATCCTCTAGATGTTATTTCAATCGACCATCTACCAACTTTATTGCCTAGAGAAAGTAGCGAACAGTTTACAACAGATTTACTTCCTAGTTTACTTGAATTAACTAACCGTGATACTGCTAGAGTATGGGTTGATGTTGAGAAGTTATTTAGGCAAAAAGCTTCTTTAATAGACTCCTAATTGTGAGGTAATTTCCTTTTTATTTACATACTTTTGCATAAACTAAATAGTTTAGTTTTATCATATTCATAATTGTAATATAATTGAGTGATAATCTTCCTCAAGACCTTTGAAAGTTTCTTCCAATTTTTGTATACGTTCTGCCCTGTCCAGTTGTCTCAATATATCCTACATTATAGAATTAAAATGGTTAATTGATTAGGTTTGATATCAGTCATTAAGTAAATATAAAGGCAATTAGCAAACCTCATTCCAGAGATACAACCGTTGTTTGACTTGCAACCGATATGCCTTATAGGCAACAGGATCTGTCTTGTTTAAATTCCGTAACAATTCAATTTCTATACATCGTGCCATTTGTCTCTGATTATAGTATCAAATTAATGAAAATAATTAATACCAACAAACATCATTTTAAACACTATGTAATATTATCTTTACCTTATTTAATTTGTATTTTTTCTGCAATTCATTAAATACATTTCTGTCTACAGGTGCCTTGAGGCCTTCAAGAGCTTTATTTTCTCTCAAGAACCGTATATCATTTTTATCACGAATTTCTTGAAATTTGTCACTTGGATCTTCAACTATTATAGTAATATATAATAAGATTATTTATTGATTACAATTTATTAAACTATTTAACGAGCAAATTTATTGACTAACCAGTGATATCTTTTATTCTGGGATCAGCTAAGAAACTTTGGTAGAGAGCCTGATAGAATTTACCTTCAACAAAGTTCAATAATTAATAAAATAATTTCAACCTTGAGCCACTTAATTAAAACTTACTTCCATGACCTTCTCGTTGATAATGCGGGAGGATTAAAAACTGACTGTATCAGTAAGCCATTATATCAGGATTATGATTATCATCAAAAACGGAAAATGTGATGTATATTATGTAATGTGAGTACCTGATTCTCACTCGTATATTATCTCGAATCTGTCCACCTTGATTAATGCTCATATGCAATGGTAGTTTATTATTGGCATTGGCATTCGTATGATTCTCGTTAGAATTTCCCGCGCTAGTTAAAAAGTAATACAAGTACATCGTACAATAACCTACAATGCTATATACTTTGCTATCACCCACGGTTTTTTTCTCAAATCTATCCTCATTAGAATTAAGATAAAGCATGTTAGACTAAATATCAATCTGTTTATACAATATACATACATTAGTGCAATTTCCCATTTGTCATCTTCCTCGTCAATATATGATCCAGCTTCTATATAAAACAATACAAATATTTGTAATCGCCTGTGAAACTCTTTAAAGCGAGGAGTCGCAAATGTTGCCTGTGATAAACAGTAAATGTGATATATGAATTGCAAATTCATAACCGAGTATTAGATGCTTATCAGCAAGTATAGATCTTTGCCTTATAAATTTCATATACTCTATCATCATCATTAAGACGATATTCTGAAATTTTCTCTCCAAAAGGTTTAAAATGTTCAGAATCAGATTTTATAGTTTGCAAAAAAGTGTCGTGATTTGTAATAAAATCTTTATTATTTTAAAAGAATTAATTAGTAATGAATAAAAAAAAAAAGGAAAAAAAAATACAAAATTTTGATACAATGATTTTTAATAATAAAATTATGGTTTCTTTTACCATTAGGTATGAATTCTTTGATCCTTTCTACTACATCATCAGCCAATGGAACCTTTCTGTCATATGTTACATCAAAATATGTTGTCAGACTACCAGACGCGTAATATAACTGATCGATCAATTTGATCAAAATAACACCATGTAATTAGTTTTCTAAATATTTAAAGTTGTCACCAACTGTATTTGTAAGAGGAAGAAGAGGAATTACAATCGCAACCTTAATTGACAGATTTTTGTAGCCAAAAATTTGTTCCTTGTCACCAAATATTGGGTACGTAAAGTCAGGTGAAAACTCTTGAACCTTCGTTTCGTCGTTTTCGTATTCTGATACAGATAATGGTTGAACTAGTAAAACAGAAGTTTATTAAAACTACACTGGAAATTAGTTAGCTTTAACGAAGTTCGATGGATTTTCTTTATACATACCAAACCTAATTTTAACTGCCTCATTCGAATTACATACCCATTCTGTATCAAAACAATTTTCTAGGATATTCATTCCTTCCATAATGTATTAAGTATAAAGTGGGAGCTTATTTGAGTTTCCGGTGGTAAAGATACGCGACAAGTTTAAAGCTTTTTAATAAATTTATTATACTATTGTTGTACATATAAATGTTTCACGCGTATGTCCCTTCAAGACTTGTAACGTAACAACGTTACACGATATGCATTTAAGAGAATACAGTATTAGGTGAAGAGCATTTCTCCCAGTTGCTGTGCTTATTGAACAGCAAAAAATCGTACGTATGATTTTTTGAAAACCTTTTTTCCGAAAAAAAACATGATCCCACAATATCAGCCAGCGTTATTATCTACTGCCAACTTTATCGTAATTGTGCTTTTTTAGAAAAAAAATTATCTAGCCAAATTTTATGAGCTTTTTTTTTATTTTATAAATAAATCAGAATTTTTTGTTTTTTAAATTTGATCCGATTGGCGTTAAGATAAAACTATATTAAAAATTTTTTTTTAAACTTTGATCAAATTAAATTTGGTAAATTTTATTTCGGTTTTACTAAACCATACGTACTATATACTTGGTATTCAATACTATAATAAATTTTTATTAATTAAATTATATAGCTGCAGTATAATATAAAGATCAAGTGTAATATAAAATTTTATTTTTTTAAAAAATTTATTTTATCTCTTAATCTGTACTAAAAAAAATTTTTTTAATAATATTTGAATTTATTTTATAATGCTATAGCACTAAATACAAGTTAATTTCTCAAACAAATTTGTCTAAAATATAGTTTAAATGATAGTGCTATAGCACTATAATGACTATAGCAGTCAGGGAATATACCAAATTAGTAAATCGGGTTCTAGAATGATCTACATATTAATTCTTGATCTTGATTGGTTCTTGCGTACTTTTTCGTCACATTTTTTCAGAAAATTTTTACAGGTTTAACTTATTATTAGAAACTTACAAGTAGACGCATAAGTAGATAGTAGAAGACCTCTAGTTTAAATAATCCACAATAATCCACTCAAGTTAACTCTTTTCGAAAAAGTAGATGAGACGCAAAATCTAACGATCAGGTTTGTACAAATTAAAACGTAAGAGTATAATTTCTGAATCTTGTTATGTTATTAGCGACTTTTTTTTATTGCAGTACTGTTTTGCTTTGTTCTATATTCATTTTTAACCAATATTACGCTTTAATACCAGGCTGAGTCTACTCTCATTGATTAGCTAATAAGTATAAGGATCTTTATTAATCGGCATATTGAATTGACTACTTTAGTTTGCTATTTTACTTTATTATAATTAATTATTTACCGATTATATTTTTCTATATTTAAAAAAACATTTTATTAATTGTACAATTTTATTATTTGTGTTAAGTTAGTGATTCGGATCAATTAAATTATAATTAAGTAACTGAAGAGAGCTAATTGATCAGAATAGAGTTCTGAAACTATGATGCGTCAAAAAACTGAACTACACAAATACTAATACTAATGTTATTAAACTATTTAATTAACTCCAGTAATGAAAGGCAGATAATCAAGATGAATTTCAAATTAGGTATTACAATATCTTAAATACTTGGGATTGAGATTCTGGGAATTTTAAGAATTATACAACTTTTAAATCGCAACAACGTTCAGGCACTGATTTCTTCTTTTACAACTGATCTTTTTTTCCATTATCTTATTTTTGTTATGAATCAATCAGGAGTCTCACAGTCAGTCTTGTAGATTATTATACCACACAAGCAATTGAAATGCATTTGTAATAGTTATATCCTGGGTAGTTGGGTATAAGCGGAAATGAAATTTCTGCTTATACACATAGTATCCAGGATATAACTGATTTATTTTCTGCGATCTTGATATAGTGAGCAGAATATACTCCTAATATTTAACTCTTTTTATTACTTATTTTGCATACATACATATGGGATTCTAATATCAGAAGTACATAGTACACTTGCAGCAGCCATTAATACACTTTCATCAACTATCACTAATAACTTTTATTATATCAAACTAGTTAGTATAATCAACCTTTTTTTTTTGGGCTATGACATTACCTCGTAATTTGGTTTGGCAATTGGGATAGAGATGTGAGCACAATGCCGTAATTAGCTGTAATTATAATAAATTTATAGCATTGCACTTAACACCTCTAATCGGAAGTTCCTGCTCATTTGGAATAATGCCAAAAACTCAGTTAATTATGTTAAATCAAATAAAAA